ATAGCTCATGAGGCAGAGTCCGCGAGACCGAATGTGCTATTAATAGCTCGTAGTCCACGAGGCCGAGAGGTCTAATTATTGYTTTAGTATAAACATACTAATCGGTCAAATAATGAAAACTAACGAACTACAAAGATTTACATATCGTTGACAAAGTCAAAAGCTTTAAGAGGGTCCTAAAGCAGGCCCGTAACCAGGGGAGGTGCACTGGGATGCGCACCCCGACCCCCCAAAGGACATTAAAAAATCTAGAATGATATTTAAAAATATTGGCATAGCAATTTACACAAAAATGCGGACTCATTTATAGTACAGCTTCCTTCTAGAAAAAGCATGTGTTGTACACTCGACAATCATCCTTGTGAACTCAGGAGTACCTATCTTCTGTCGTACGTTCACAAAGTACCCCTGAGCGCAAAGTCTGTTAAGGCTGATTTASACGGCACGATTGTCTCGTGCGACTTGTAGTATACGACTTGAATCGCGCAGTGCAAATGCCCCTACGACTTGTCTACAACAGTCGTACGCAACCTACGACTTGTAGTAGCGTTTTGAACCACTGCTTAAAATCCTACGACTTGTAGTAGGAAAATCGTATACTACAAGTCGCGCGCGACAAATCGTACACGGTGTAAATCAGCCTTTAGACCTTGCTCTCGCATGGAAAGCCCAAATTAATCGAGCCAAAATTAGATAATTCGACTCAATCATGATCGACCAATTAAAAGCAAGGCCACAAATTGACCTCAGATCGAGCAAAGATGTAATCGATAATATCACGACTAGATATAGTCTCAGATAAATTCAAAAACCCAATTTTAGATCCCAAGAGTTATTCTGCATTATTAGAACTATGTACAATCTTAGAGTTATTCTAGAAAGCTCAACTAGCATTCCATGACATGTTATAACCTCTGGAACAATGTCCAACAGACTTCGTATCCAATGGTCCATCACAGACATCTCAATCTTCCAGTTTGTACATTTCGGGTTTCCTGTGGAACAAAAAGAGGAATTTAATTAGGGAGAGGATAAAGCGAAATTCATGCCGAAAAAAGGTCGACAATAAGTGTCACCGACTGACTACCACAAGATACCCGTTATTTCAAAAAGAAAGAGATGTCTGAGGAGGAGGCTAGGACGAGAAACAGCGAGATTACCTAAGGCTCAATAGAYCTATCCAACACTCGCTTGGATTAGTACGAAACAATGGCTTCAAGTGGAGACTGGAGTTTTATCGTTTGTCGAAAACTCCAGCCTCGAACTGAGGCCATTGTTTCGTGTTCATGCCGAAGCAAGTGTGAGATAAGTCTATAGTATTATGAAACTTTTACGTCACCTACTTGATTTACAATGCATTATGGGATAGGTTTTTTGAGAAAACAATCTAGAGAAGGATCTGTGGTACGACATCCATATATGGTTGTGTTAATTATTACACGTTAATTATGTGAAGAAGAACTTAGAAAATTTTTACAGACTTAAAAACTTAAACTGAAAAGAATTTTTTTATTTTCCCTAAGACCTAACCATTAAGCCATGAGTTCAAGTCGCTTGAGCGTACCTGTGGAAAACTTATGGTAGCCCTGTTGTGTGACAACTAAGGCGAGTCACGGCAAGTAATCACTCGTGACCTTCCTTGTTATATTTGAATMTCGAGCGTGCTTCCTGACACAACACTCTTACGTCTTTGTCGTCACTTGATAAATATGATGTGATGTCATGATTAGGGGAGTAAACATTTGAATACACGTAGTTTTCCGTGAAACAACGAGCTTTTTATACTCTGAGAAGAAATACACAAGCGATAAAGAATTCTTATTTTTTTTCATCTTAATTTTGCCGAGAAGTTCAATGAATCGATGTTCCGACTGAAGTATTATTCCTTCAGTGACAAACTTGGATGGCGCTTGTCTGGCGTTACGGCTTTAATATTTCTTCTGTTGGGTTCCATAAGTTTTGGTTATGGAATTAAACTAATGGAATATGCTGAAAAGAAGGACGTTACACCGATATTCTCAGCTATACCGGTAAGTTTATAGTTTGGATATAAATAAAGATCCAGAAGTTAGTTAGTCAACATTWAATAAAAGTGTAAGACCATCGTTACTGTAAACAAATTTCGTAAAAAGGACACCTTTACAGTCCGGTGACAAAAAGATAGGAAAAAYACATCAGGAAAAACTATCTTTTCTCGAGATTTTAAGCGCTGATGTGACTGGATTGAATATTGTTGTATGGATTGAAAAATAAATGTAGTCAGAAAATCTTTTATAGAGGCTGAACACCATGAATATTAAAAAGATGTTAAATCAATACTACTTTAGCAGCCGTTAAAACCTCCACGGAAAATTCGGTATTTATRGGAAATTACTTRAAAAGAATTGCGTGGCAAAATAAAAGTTGTTGTTTTTCTTGTGACAAGTGCACGCCAATCAAAGTCAGAAAATCKTCCCGCCTGAACAGGCATGTTTTTTAGAGTAACACTAATTTCTATTTTGCTAAGAATATTTCCATTTTTTGACTTTCGTAAGCAAGCCTTCTTTCGATATCASGTTGTACTTTCTGATCWGAACGAGAAATGACGAGACGTTTATGGAAAAAAGGTTTGACCCCAGAGCCTAAAGTACACTCCCGCACTGACAACTCGTGACACCAGTATGAGTTCGTATTTCATTCGGACGTGTTCGTATTTCACGAAATACAAACCAGCTTTTTTTTCAGTGATCTTGATCCCCAGGGATCTCTCCCTTCTCGTCTCAGTAGATCAATAAATARAAAAACGTTTTAGATCTTGATTTCTTCTGATTGAAAGTGATTCCGAGGCTAAATCCCTGTACTTACTAGTAGTGACTTGCGCTGTGTTATATGTTGACCAAATGGTAGTCTCATCAGACTTTTTAAGTTAAAATTGGAAAGTACACCGCGTTGACCAAACATACCACAGAATCTTTARATTTAGTTCCGGGCTTCCGTTCAGTTCGGAAACTAATTTACTAAGCACATTTGGTTATGAGTCGGAAGCATTATTTCAAGCGCAAGGCTTTGCGTGATCACAAATGAATTGTTTATCTTTAGATGTCCGTAGCACGTACTGTTGACACTATTCATCATCGGTCACTGATTTTAAAAAACAAAGGGTCTATATCTGTTAGAAGTTGTTCATTCATTCTTAGCATTCAGAGCAGAGCCACAGTCTGAATCAGAGCAGAGGTCCGTTATATCATAAGAGGTTTGTTTTGTTTGGCATGTGGTTTCTTTGTACTCAATTGAATGATGTCAGGCGTTTACAATAGGTTTGCTAGTCTTTTTCCTTTTACTGGTTGACCCGGAAAAAGCCTTTCTATAAATAAAGTGACGTATATCCGGGGTTGGTTTGGCCAATGACAAACTACCAAAAGGTCATCATGTCATTCACGCATGGACGTCTAGACAAAACAAATTGGTCATGTCACACAGTGTATGAAAAAGTTTTTTTTTCTTCTGTAGATGCTGATCAGTGGTATACTAGGAGCTGGCGTTGCATTGGCCAGAAAGAAATTYATTGTAAGTTGATATGACTTGTGTTGATAAAACGTTCAAAAGATTGTCCTAACAGGGGTGGTCCGACACGCGTTTGAGAGAGGGGTGCAGAGCACTTAGGATTGAGTGCGTTCCACAAAAATGATCAGAAACAAGGGAAACTATTAAAGAAAACATKTCGCCCTCTTTGTTRAGAGATACAARTTCTCAGCAGGGGTGCGCACTCTTGCACCCACCAGCTTGATCCGAGGACAAAATRATGGGAAAATGTACAAATCCSCCTTTGTAGACAAATTTATTTATTTATTATTTATTCTTTGTTTCTTTTTTGTCTATAAATATTGAAATATTTACATTTGAAACTAAATTATGGCCTCAATTACGTTCTTTCTTTCTTTACCTGAAGGTGGCGTGCTACGCTATATCGTCTACAATAGTTTTAATGTTATCTATCCACATGAACTATCGATTCATGTTCAAGGAATACTCGTTATTGCCGCTGTACAGAAGACAGTGTCAGACAGAAGCCCATACGTCTGAAAGCCAACGTAAGTAKACAATTAGCTACAATTACCTGCAGATAGCGCATAACTGAGAGTGAGCGCCCGATTGATAGACAGAAACAGTCTACATCGATGCTGTTTTTGTGACGACAAAGCACGACGGGAGTTGAGGTCCTCGCAAATTTTAATTTTTTTTTAACTTAAAAGTTTTATTTTCCCTGAAATAAACAAACGAATCTCCTCTTACAGAAATTCATATGTTATTTATCGGCTGGGAGGTCCGCATAGGAAAACACTGCTTGCAGATCTTAACCAGTACTACTTCTCAAACTCATTAATAATTCATGACTCGCCTGTCCAATCATTTGATCTCTTTAGGGTCACGTGTATGCATTTGGATACCTTGATCCAACACCGCTTGCAAATGAGATCCATCTCCTAGGATTTGGATATCCAAGTCCTAGGAGTTTCCTCAGGTATCCAAATCCTAGAGCTGCATATTTATTTTTATACAAAATATTACATTCATCTGATATTTTTTCTAGCTTTTATATACTATTTTCTCTTTTTCTTCTTACTTTCTTYTCTCTTTCTCACTAATCTAATTGATGACTTAACATATTACATTTCTTTCTATTTTATTTTTACTTTTTAACTTATGTTGCAGCGCCGGTGACTCGAACCTCACGCATGAAATCCCATAGACCTACCAAATAAGCTATTTGTGAATTATATGGATATTATGATTTGATTCTAATGGTCATTCATTAATCATTCATCAGTTCTCTCTTTTACATGGTGTACTGACTCAATTCGTTCAGCTGAAGCGAAAATTTCACAATGAATTGAATTAAATCACGCAAATTCCCTTGTTTTCTAAACATACTTCTTATTGCTAACGAGTCATTCATTATTAATTGGTTTGAGAAGCAAGATCAAAAACTCGTGCTTCGTGTTTCATCAGGRGAATCCAAACACCTCGAAACAGATAAAAGCATCAGTTCCTCGGTATTTGGATSCCGTGATGAAACACTCGCACMMGATCTATTACGTACATAAAAGACCGAGAGCRGTGTTTTCCTGTACGGAACGACCTATAGSCGGTAAATAGCATTTTATTGTGTTTTCTTTTTGTTCGCAACCTAGCTGCAGAATACCGTGGACCGCGCAGATCGTGAAATACCGGACCGCGCGCTAGCCAATCACAGCGCGCAAATGACTAGGATACTGGACCGAAAAAAATCAATGGCAAAATTACATGCATATTTTAAAGAAAACACAAAAAGAGATACAKTGTGTGACTAATGGAGAACAAAAACAATGATCAGGGCATATCAAGCGGTTGACTGACAAACCAACATTGTCACCTGCTAATCTTTTTCTATATAGTACAGTCTAGTGCATTCATAGATAAAACGGTTTGTTTCCTGGTATATTTCGGGAGTCCAGTATCTCCCATCGTCATGTACAGTAAGATTACACATTGAAGAGCCGTTTCTCTGATGTACTGGAATTTCAAATTCATTATACTGTCATGACCAATTTCTAAAATGTTTTTGATATATCTCTCACTTTCAGTTTTGTTATTCTTTTCTTTTCTCTTTTTTTTTCTCCTTAATGTCCTTCCTTAGATACATAGCACTTTGTCATTGCATATTGCATGCCCATGTTATTGACCGTCTATTTGGTAACTTTACAGATTTCTGCCAGCATTACACTGGAACAGTCATGCTTTGCTGCGTTTCCGTATCTATGATACCTGTAGCTCTTGGCTCTGTTTTGGCGTGCCTTAYTGACCAAAAGGCATTGAACAAAAAGGTACAGTGTAAATGCGAAGACATATTAGGAGGAAATGATGGGGGATATTGGGAAGATATCGTGCATGATGCAAATGAATCAAAATTAGCTATCTGGGGACGGTTGTAGGAAGATTTACTAGTGCTGTTCTTAATGGAAATATTTCCTATTGACCCTGGTTACATGCGCGTAAGTGGCTTCCTCTCATTTGATCCTTCTGCGTCCTCGCTTACAATGCATTAAAGTGAAAATCAGGATTCAGTGCGTGTGCTTTTCACAGATATAATTGCATGGTCATAACGGCATTCTGACTTACCAAACAATAAAAGCGGGTAACTTTTAGGTAAAATCACAGGCCGAACACTTCAATTTATCGACGTAGGCTCTTAGTGAAATGTGAATTACCTGTGGTATTATGTCATTATCCTGTGCCTCGCGAAATATAAACTGTATCCCGCGAGGCGCTTGGGATCGTCACGTATGGCACAGGCAAAATTCTTGTTCTTTTCTTCTCTCAAGCAATAGCTTGACAGTGTTTCTTTTCCTGAAAATCGGAAAAACATGACGAATTGCTGCAACTAACGCACAGTGCATGTGTCCCCCCGTCAGCAACTTTTCACCTTGTAATTCTAGACGTAATCATGAATTTCTCATTTCGCTGTGAGAGGTTGTTGGTACGAGCAATTTTCTTGTCAAAATATTGCAAGTTATGAAACATTGAAAAATTTAAAAATGCACGTGACCTCACGTTCTATTGTAATTGTTGCTGTTCAATCTGATGAGCTTTGTTTATATTGTTTTCCAGAACCTTTATTTACCATGGTTCACGTTTTCTAAGGTTGAGCCGTCAGACACCAACAGAAAAATACGAGAAAACTCAAACAACAATAAATTGATGACATTTGTCAAGTACAAGCGATCTGAGCGTATCGTGGGAGAGATTCCCGAAACTCATCCCTCCAATGAATACATCCCTGACATTCCTGATTTTATGGAGTTGGCTATCCCTAGTTCTGCTAGTCCAGCGTACAAGGCGTACGTGGCTAACGGATTTGGAGAATCATTCAAGAATGCTTATAGCAAGTCACTAAATGACTTGGATACCAACGCAATTGAAAGATTGTACTTAAAAGATGGTATAAAAAGTGTTAGTAATGATTTGCTAATAACAAAGAATAAACCAGATGGAAGATCAGATGTGAACCTGAGGTTTGTTGACGAGGATTTCTTTAATCAGAAAAACAGAAAAAACATGAGCAGTGTACAATATTATGACAATGCAGCAGAAGACTGGATTCAAAATATAGTTGATAATCATACCTGTAGAAGTCGTCTACATGGAGTTAGTGACGAAGAAGACTTAGATAGTAATAGCGAGCTTTTACTAGACTCAACCACAAAGCCTTTTCTTTCCACACACAAAAACCCAGCTAAAGATGGCTCGGAAATTATTGAAGATTTAAACAATAAGAATTTATCTGTTTCGGTAACTTTACTTGATAATGAAGAAAAGATAAATGACACAGTAAAAGGGCTTGGTAATCCGGACTCTCCTCTAAATGATCACAACCAAGAGTTTTTTTCTCAAGAAAAGAACCAATATGATGGATTTTCCAAAAGTAAAAGAATCAACGTTGCAATAAACCCTAGAGATCTTCACCCTGAGCTTGTTAAAGAAATTGATGGCACAAAATTGTCCGACTGGACAACGCTTGTCAAGTCTGATATGATCCGAGAGGATTTCTCACAAGACATAACTCCACCTGGTTTGATAACTCCAGTGACTGGGCGTTCTTTGCCTGGCGGACAGCTGCACTTTGAGTTTGATAAAGTTTCTAGTACTTATAGTGATAATAATATGTCGATGGTGGCTGCCCCTGGCCATGCTCGTAAATTCTGGATCGAATTTGAAGTCCAAGGAGATTAAGATTATTAGGGCAAAAAGAGTAGTAAAAATGACAGAATGAATACAATAAAAGTTAACACCTGTATTTAAGACCTGCTAGTCTTCCGTAAATGATATCAAAAAGTAACATTGTTTATAATTTATTCTAAAATATTTAAAAAGAAAGTAAAGTCCATGCACTTTCAATTGAACTGTTTTGAAAAACTGAACATAAATGCAATGGTACTGTTAGGCCTTCCTGTATGGATGAATATAATGGTTAAAATTTTACTATGAAATTATATTTCTAATGTATTGAAATGAATTTCTAATACAAAAATTCAAAAAATAAATGGTGTCACATTCTGTGCTTTTTGGCCAAATCTTTGTTTTGTAAAAGTCTCTACAGATTTAGCCGCAGCCCCCTCTTCGAGACCCAGCACAGCAAACCCAAATTTCTCACTTGCACGTCCGAATTGAATCATGGGAACGTGGTTCAAATTCGACAGGGAGCAATCAACGTGCCAAGCCATCCAGGGGGGGGGGAACTCCCCTATAAAGTTGGTAGGTATACTCGACGGACCTTTTAGGCTCGAAAATTAAACCCTCGTGTACTTTTTAGGGTCCTAAGCTGACTCTGTACCTTTTAGGGTCAATTTTCGAACAACGGGAAGAAAAATCGAAGAAGTGTTACAGCCGTTACGGATAACACGTAGGGAGTCGAACGAAAAATCCTGCTGGATTCATGACTCTTTACATGAGACTTTACACAATACACACTTGATGTCAGTGATCCACCTAGAAGAAAGTCAAAACATCGGTCTTTGACAGGTAATATTATTCGTATTTCATCATTTTATATCCTTCCGATCAGTAATTGAATGCCCTAAATCGATTCATGTTGGTATTTCTTGCATATAGCCGCAGATATCCTGATAATTAGACGTTTAATAGCACAATTTCCCGAGCTGTTCTCTGACATATTTGTGTAAAGTCTGTATTTTCGAAACGAATGCTTCACTAACACACAAAGTACTAGAATAGATGAGGTGACGGTTTTGTCCGCCATCTTGGACCGGTAGGCATAGTGTCGCAAAATAACAAGGAATKACCGGGAAATHGATGTCAAATAATTCTCGCTGAATTCAAATTCAGAAAGAATTATCATTTGCAAACGTTAGATACTGCAAAAAGGAGTTAACTGGCCAAATTTGAAAGGCGTACTTGATCTAGAGAGCGAGTAAACTCATTTTTAGTTCTCCATACATTTCTTTGTAATTTCAATACATTTCGTTATAATTTCCGGGGTCATCAGTGCGTGACGCGCGTGAAAAATACAAAGAAATGTATTGAGAACTAAAAATAAATTTTCTCGCTCCCTAGACCAAGCACATCCTTCAAATTTGGCCAGTCAGCTCCTTTTTGTAGTATCTAAGGCGTTTGCAATTGATAATTCTTTCTGAATTTGAATTCAGCGAGAATTATTTGATATCGATTTCCCGGTCATTCCTTGTTATTTTGCGACACTATGCCTACCGGTCCAAAATGGCGGACAAAACCGTCACCTCATCTATTTGAAAGCGCTTTGACGATTTTGACCATTCTTGGCTAGTTTTATCGATATTCGAGGAAACCAATTCATGTTGGGGGAGGAGCTATCCAATGGTAGTCTAGAAATGTTTATGATTGACATTTGTAAAATGAATGAATCCAGAAGGATTTTTCGTTCGACTCCCAACGTGTTATCCGTAATGGCTGTAATAAAGATGTCAAAAATGGTCGTACCTTAATACAACTCGGGGAAAATGCAAATTTCCAAGGCTATTGTAATAACGACATTTTCTCGTGCTCTCTTTTGTGTTTGGTCAGGTCTTTGCGCAAGAGAATCTGTTGTCAAATAAAGCAGCGGTGAAGTCGAAACTGGAGTATTTTTGGGATCGCCTAAAACCGGGACGGGGACGTGGGACGTGGGACATGGGACGCGGGATATGGACGTATAGATTTTGAAATACAATGTACTACGACGAAAAAATCCTTGTTTTGTTTTGTTAAATTGAAAATAAACCGATAAATACTCACATGACTGCTTTATATCCTGACAACAAAACTCTTGGATCAATAAAAATGTATTAGGGTATGAGACTAACCCTGTATTCCCATAAGACCTAAGGTATGAGCCTTTTGGGAATACAGGGTTAGCCTCAACTCCGGGAAAATGTAAATTGTTAGCGCTATTGTACTAACAGCATTTTCTCGTGCGTTCTTTTGTGTTTGGTAAGTTCTTTGCGTGATTGAATCTGCTGTCAAATAAAACAGCGGTTATTCGCTTGGAATTCAAAAATGGTGTATTTGGAATATTTTCCGATCGCGACGGTATGTCAGTTGGCGACATTTCGTCGCGGCTAAAATATAAACTACATTTCGGTTAATTCACTTATTGAGCTTATCCATCAGAATTTCTAACTTTAATGTCTTAGTAAATCATTTTAAAGCAATAATCTAAGGTAATATATCGAGAGAAAACATGAATTCGAATTTTGTCCTTGGTGTAATTTCACTTCCGGCGACATTTGTTTCTATTTCAAGAACCAATCAAAATTCGCAGAAAATTCCGCTTCCCTAAAGTCGTACGTTTTCGCCGCTKGCCAGGAAAACGAAGGCTCGGGGTAGGAGATTGTAGACTCGAAGGTCCTTTGGGCAGCCCGAGTAATCATCGAGTTCAGTTACAATCATCGAGTTCAGGCCAATACAACACGGCCATGCAGCATTAAATGAAATTGTAATGAATTGAATAATTGACCAAATACTATTAAGAAAGTTCATTTCTAGTTCAAACCATAATGCACGAAAGGTCTGTATATAAATTCTCACCCCTTTTCTCGAATGAAATGATAATGCAAACTTAGGAAATAGTAAATTATTGGGTAAAAAACACGAGGATACACGCAATTAGTCTTGGAAATGTATCTCTTAATTATGTGAATAACTTTTAGGTTATTATAATACCTACTTCTAAATATTCGCTCTCTAAAAAAAGATTCACCTTACTATGTATATATGTTTAGAAAATCAATTCGAAGCAAAAACAGTGCATCATGATGAACTACCGGTAGCTGTAAAGCAAATAGAACTGCCCTGGGGATTCAAGTGAAAAAATTTAATTAAAATAACCTTTTTAATTGACTTTTCTATGAGTGATGGTATAATGTAACATGGTTAGCAAATATTATTTGAGTTTCCTTTTTTCTGAGCAGGGCACCGGCTTTTTCTAGTTAGGTGTATGCACTTATTTTAATCAAGTTTGTCGCCCTAAAATATAACAGCTCAATCAGAAACTCGTCACTAAAAGGCATTGACTGTCAACTTATGGGTTTCTGCCTGAACCCATACAGCGCCATGGACTACACTTCCGTTTTCAGCATTTTAGTTGTTTTTACTGAAATCTACCAGAATGAAGCATTGGACGTTTGACAAATACACTAAAACGGACCCCTAATCTGCACAAGTCGCTCTTGCGAGTGATATAGGGAATTTTCCAAGTGTTCAAACTACGTTCCCACAAAACATTTCGGTCTCACGTTGTTGTCTTTGATGTTTTTGAAGAAACAAACTTAGTTGAAATGAGTGTATTCAATCAGCACATCAYAATGAAAGAAACTACAGTGAAGATAAAAAATAAGATGTGCGATCAATTATGTTTACATCTGTGATCTTTTTATAAAAAAATACAGAGCTGCTTGACTGAAGATCGATTTTATCATACCAATTTTCTCGATTTACATCATTAACGATAATAGTAGCCATCCCCACTGAACATCGACTATATCCTAACAAAACACCTGCAAACCTTCGTCATATAAAAGATAAGCTCGACAAGCTCTGTTCACTTCTCTTCAATCAATCTACAATTAGCAAAACAAAAACAAAAACTGAACGATTTTTTTWAATCTAAAAACGCGATGGTATTACGAATATCTGTCGATTTTGTTTGATTTTATAATCTACAAACACAAATTAATTAATAAAGGTTGTCCTTCCATTGCAAAGACAAGCTGTGTGGAACTGATAATGGGGAAGCAAATATGGCTCACTAATGATTTTAGTAAATCATTTGGTGTCTAGCTAGAAGATCGACACGTTAATAAGCTCTTTATTTTATTTTATTTTTTCATTTTTTTGTTCGTAAGAATAAATTGTTAAAAATTTAACATTTACTTGATCAGTTGCAGAAAAAGCTTATATTGCTATTTATTGCCCGATTAAAATACAAGGATATTAACTACCGAAAAAAGTAAAATTGTAATATTGGAGCACCTCAGAATTATGAAAAAAGGAAACAATAATAAAGAAATATAATCAATACACAGCATATAAGTAAACAAATACGCAAAAACAGTGCCCAATATTGTCACAAACGTCTATTTTCCAAAAAAAACATGACTAATGATATTTACCTTAGCGATTAGCCGAAAAATTGAAGGGAAATATCAAACAGCATTTGCCGAAAGGACTATTTTTAATCACAGTTAACAATTTGTGTTATTATATAGTTTGTGTTGACAAGGGAGATTGTAGTTTTTAATAATCATCCAGTAGTAGTGACAAGCTGTCAAAAGAAAATTGCTCGTGTGAATTCACCTGCTATTTTCCTGTGCTCACCCATTGTTCTTAATCCCACTTTTCCAGGGTGTCTTATTTTTAGTTTTAAGGTAAAAATCCGATTGAAGTGTATGATATTTTCTCCCTCAAATTCTAACCTTTTTTACATTCTGAAATTACCAATTGACTGGAAATTCAAAAATGTGCGTCAAGGAGAGGACCACTAGAAAAGTGACATAGTCAATTTGCCATTTTTTTCAGAATTGAAGATCGGGGAAAGTAGGAACTAGATTGAAACCGCCAGACAGCTGCTCAAACTAAATACGTCATGAAGCACGCCGCCTATTAAAGCACATTGAACAAGCCTGTACATCAAAACTAGAGTCTRATAGTTCACACTGACCAACTCTCCACAAATTAATTCCAAAGATGACAACAACTTGCCCCTAGCGAAAGGCTCCCTGGCGAGACATTATGAATTATAGTACGAAATTCTGATCGCTACAATAACTTATTTTTGTGCAAGATTAGCATTAACTCACTTTTGGTGGCGAGAGTGTTGGTTTCTGATACTGGAATTCCTATAGCAATGATATACCTTAGTAGCACAAAGGCCAGTCAACTAATCTGTACTGGAGTGTCTGAGTTCTGCATTGGAGGAGTAATTTTAGGACTTGCTTATACTATTAGCTTTGGAAAGTATGAATTAACATCAATTGTTGGAAAAGGGTGTCCATTTTGGGCTGGAATACCGGTGAGCATCTTCTTTGCTTTACTATAAAAGTCCCAAAAATATCTTATAAATATCTTGAAGAAAAATTCAAGGTTTTAATTGAATTTGTGACCTGATTCCCCTTCGAAGTGTTTCATTACAAAGTCAAATGTCGTTTGTACTACTGAGCATGTTTGCATTACAAATTGTGTCGCGGAAATGAGTAGTCGTGGTGACTGTTTACAAGTACGTGTTGATTATTTCTTACAATAATATGAGGCTGGAATTGTTGCAAAAAGAAAAAAAAATCATAACCAATGTGAATTTTTTAATAATTAGAAATTAGGTAATTTGTTGACAATAAAAGTGTGCATACTATGTTACAAAATACAAAGAAACAGTAGCTCTTCGAATGTTAAGTCCTTAGTTTAGCAGTGTAAATGAGAAAAAAAAATAATGATACAGTGACACACATCTCAAAGATTTTGCGCAAGAAAATAGATATTGAAGATATCTAAAGATTTAAGCAAATGACTTTTTGTCAAGATAACTGGAACAACAAAATAATTTCATGTTCGCGTTTTGCAGTTAGGGAAACGCCAAACTTAAAGACAAACAACAAAAAAAAGCAGAGATATCAAGCGMAATAAATAATCGATAAGTATAGATGTCAGTCAGACTACACTGCCATAAAAAACGCATTTCTATTTTGTAGAATTTTGAACGTGATACAAATTCAATTTTTTTGGATTGTTGATAATAAAATTTCAATCAATTAGATTATAAACCCCAGAAAACGTCGAATACTGCGATACTGCATATGTTATCTAATACCGAAATGCATTGTTGTTAAGCTATAACTATAATTCAAATCAATTGTTATTGCTCTTGTAGTTAATATCCCTATAACATATATTATACTTATACGTACACCTATTTAAGAAAATGGAACTTGAATTACTTCAAAGTGTCTTCCAATAGCGAAATGCATTATTGGCTGTCGTATCACCGCTAAAAGGGATACGATGGTTTTAGAGTAAATAGAGTACAAACACTAAAACTGTGCAACATATCGGGCGGCTTAATACTTTAGTTGRTGTGATATCGAAAGATTTTAGCGACTAAATAAATGTAGATGTAGATGTAGAAATACCACTAAATASTGCTAAATTATGCTAATTCTATTGTTTTCTATTGTTYAATTAATTCTATTTTGTAGTAAATAGTGGAAAGTGTTGCACACATTTAATGTTTGTACCCTATGATCTTCGATGGGAAAAGCAATTTAGTTTAGAATTGTTATTTATATAGCACATTTTAATAARATACATTTGTGTTTAAAGGTAGACAAAAAGCCCTTTTGTTTTTTTTCATCACTGAGATTAAACTAAAAACTCCATTATTAAATAGGTTGCTACTCAGTAATTGCTTTGAACCTSATCGAAAAACCTTAGCAACTATTTAAATTATAGAAGTTGGGTAAATACTGCTATTAGCGCCTTTTAAGCATTTATTTAATCTCGGTATAAAYTGAAAATCTCTTAGTATCCCCTGATTGCAAGACAGCTGGGCCTTTGGGGCCTGAATKTGYGATGCRGGGTTGATAAAATTATCGACCGCGTGCGTACGTATTTTCAATGGATTTTATACCAGTAAGGATTTATAAGCATCTATATAAATGAAAACTTTGACAAAAAAAAACCACATGCATTAACTTCGAATTTGATAGAAATATATGTGGTAATTAATAGCACTGACTGTGTAGGAATTGCTTGAGGTGACGGATGACAGTGCTGCCGACCGCTGATATCGGTGCATTTTGTCGACCTTTTGTCCTCGTGTGTGTTGTTTTGGTCATTTGCTATAAGATATAAATAGCCATTCTTGATCTTATGAAACTCGGTGTACCACAAACAGTCAAATTTATGAAACGTTTTAAAGAAGTTACATTTTGTAGCATTCAAATTAAGAAGTACATGTTAAACCTCTTCGGCAGGTTTCTGGCGTCACTTTAAAATGCCTTTTATAATTTCATGCAATAATAATGTGGGAGGCGATTCGCCTTAAGCTTATATTGAATGTGTTTAGTGAGTTCGTTCAAATTGAGTCATTCCCAGGAGGTGCTTTCCGCCTTGACTAAGATCTACGTCGAATATATTTATAAAAAACCCAAAATTAACCAAGTCATAAAAATAAAGGAACATCAAAACACGTCGCATCGCATGCACGACTAATCACCCGCGAATCTGCTGGTTGAAAAGGTCTTTAAAACTTCGTAAAGTTTAGCGTTAAGGAGTCCCAAAACCGTAAAAAATAAWCTGCAGAATGAAAGTCAAAATGTAAACAGCATCAGGGTCCATCAGATCGATCTGCAGTTTTGACATGCCACAAGTAAAAGTACAATTCATTGATAGACTGAAATTCAATTCACAATTTTGTGTCCAAGCCATTTTCTATGATTTTAATATTTCAACTGGGAAATGCTAGAAAAAGTTARCGTCCTCTGATCTAAACAAARTCTCTGATTGSTTCTTTCTTATCAGAAAGGTCTCTGYTTGGTTCAACAGTTGCACGGTTTAAATGCGATCTCTCTAAAGCGTGAAAAAGTAATAACCAAACAGTGCTAAATACAGCCTTTTGCAAAAATTATGAGAATTGTCTAAATATCTAAATATCATAATATACAGCCTTTTGCACAAATTATGAGACATTTTTATATATATAAATATACCTAACCAAATATCAAAAACACCCAAGAAATTATGGGATACCGTCGCTGATATTTTGTCATGATTGCCTAGCATCAGGTTGTTACAGACAAAATATCAGCGACGGTATCCCATAATTTCTTGGGTGTTTTTGATATTTGGTTAGGTATATTTATATATATAAAAATGTCTCATAATTTGTGCAAAAGGCTGTACATATCCATATATTGTCCAGAACACGCGGGTTTGCTAGAATAATTCATTGTTGACATCGAGAAAATGTTCAGAACTACGGATAAGTCCTTCACCGCCGAAAAAAACTAAACTACATGCAGACAAAGGACAAACGGGAATCGCGTGGGATTACCCATCATGCAATTGATATTATGATATTTAGATATTTAGACAATTCTCATAATTTTTGCAAAAGGCTGTAATATAAACAATAGCTAAATAGGGCAATATAGTGTAGATTCGCATAATTTAGTAGAATTTAACACTATTTAGTGTCGACTCTTATTATTGACTTCGTGAAATTGCAATTCCTTAAAAGTGTTTCATACTATTTCAATGAAGGCACTTTATTAGCAAATGATTTGAATATCAAAGATGTTTAGATTATAAAATGAACCGCTTTCTCATAATAGACGTTGAGGATCCAAGCGCTGAGAACTGAACTTTTAGAAATGTATGCATCTTCGATGTTATGCGGTTACTGGCTTTGTAACATACATTTCATRCGGTTAGGCCTTACGTCTGTAGAGTYGTTTGAAGGGCAAGTATCAAGCTCGCTTTCTTTGTTCCTGATACCACAACAACTGCCTACCAGTTTTTCTCGTTTGAATAGTATTAAAACATTACTTATTTGGCTTTTAAAAAAGCTATTGTGGTTTAAAAAAACTATTATGTTAATATCGTTATTTCCTATTTCATCGGACCTTTTCAAATCCCCCAAAACTTGTGTTCACCATTATATATATCTTAGTTATGAGTTTTCCTGGCCATAATCTTCAATGGTGTAAAATTGCAACGACTATCATTTAAGTTAAATTTGCGTTTATACGAGAAAAGAGAAATTAGAAAATGTCAAAAAATAGGTACAGCTGATTGCAAGAGGGTMTAAATGGGTAGTTCGCATCACGACTTACGACTAAAAATTGGCTATTTCACGACACACGACTAATTTTTTCGAATCACGGTTAACTAGATTACTTTCAGAAATTTTGTACCCTATGTAATTTGTAATTTGTTTTGTGCTAGTGATGGTAAGCGTTGGAGCACAGTGTCCCCTCTTACGTTATAGATACTCAGTAATTATAATTTTTTTATCATCACTCTCAAATGCCAAATTTTGYCCATGCCCTGACTTGTCTGCAGGACCATGTAATTRCTGCCTTGTTGGTAGGTGCGATCCATTAGAATTTTGAAGGGGTGGGGGGTGGGGGAGTGGAAGATATTGGAAAAAAGTCCTGCACGACCCCAAGGGCCGGAAAAAAATTCTTGCAAGCCAAAACTTAAAAAAATCTCCACTAGAGATTTTATTTTGTAAATTTACAAACAAAAAAATTTACAAGCGCGCGCCTTGAGTTGATTGTCCTTCTGAGGAACAAAACTGAATCACGGCTCACGCTATAAAAAAATATTCAAGCCTCACGGCTAATTTTTTCTCCATTTCACGACTCACGACTTATTTTTCAGCCTTTTCACGGCTCACGGTTAAGGTGTTTCGATCGTAATAAATCGCGTTTCGCGCGTATTTTTAAATTCCAACTACGTCGCAAATTTTGATTACATTGCACTCAAATTTTCACAGAAGTAACAGTGATTATCGATAATTCTTGCCGATAAATTAGTTGCCAAAAAGCGAAGCCATTTGGATAAACGATGCATAATAAAAACACCTTCATTTTTCTTCAAAATYAATTTTCTCGAAACTCATCGCAGAGATTGTAATGAAATTTTCAGAATCTTTTTTTGATAACATAATTGATATACTGACGAAGTTTCAATAAAATCTTAACCTAAAATTTCGATTTGTTCGAATGTACATGATTGTGCTCAAACAATTCGAAAGTTTAGGTTAAGATTTCATGTAATTGTTAAATATGCTCACTTGATGTTTTGTAATTTCCAGACAGTTGTCACTGGAATAATTGGAATTATCACTGGAATTTACAAAAGGAAAATACTGGTAAGGGGAATCACAACACCAGGTTGTGATTTAATTTTTGGGCGTTGTTGTTACCTGTTGTTACATTAAATACTTTGCGCACTTATCTTAACAAGTTTTGAATGCGAAATAATACCAACAGATCAACGTATCATTCAAACTTGTCACGTGAATGGAGAAACAATAATTTGTTTTAAGGCGGCAAAATACGAGATGCAAATACCATCAACAATTGGCGCGCAACATTGTTTCTGTTCAAGTTTTAGCTCCATGTTTCTCGTTTATCATAGCGCGCGATAAAAAACGAGAAACATCGAACCTAAACTTGAACAGAAACAATGTTGCGCGCCAAGTTGATGGCTTTTGTATCTCGTATTTATCTGCCTACTATGTTAAAGCAGCATGCAATGTTAACGGCTCTTTGGAAAGAAGTCATTATTACACGGTTTCTTTTCCTATTTATTGTATTTTATCTTTTGCTCTCATGTAATTTCGAGTATCTAAATGATAGGTTTTGAAGGTCGCTAAATYTATAAGTTCGTCGATAATCAACCCCTATAAAGCTACCTGATTGACGAAACAAAAGCCAGCGGATTTCGATGACCTAAATGCACACATGTTCTTATACCGATTAGAAGGAGGTTCAGATATGACACAAGGCCGAAGTAATGCCCTTAATTATTTGCCCCTTTTACATCCGTGAAGCTTTGCCTTATTTTTTTACATGAGGACAATCCCAATCTTTAATTTTGAACCGATAAGAAAGCAACATTTGACAACAGATCTTGTTTTAACAAAGCAAACGACTGAAAAAGGTTCCCGAATACAAGTGGACCTTAAACATTGCAAAAGCGATGTTTGACAATGCCGTACTTCTCAAAATACAAAATGACCCAGCCAAGCACGATTCTAAATCAAACTATTCCATTGAAGCTGAAGGTGTTTTTGGGCCTGTCCAGCATGTGTCTTGTGCTTGGAGTTCTAGTAACTGCCGTCGTCGGACTCATGCTGAATGATTGGCGCACAAGAGGACAATGTAGATTTGGTAAGTAGTACGCCGACGAAATATACTTTTTGAACTCAGCAGTTAGTGGGCCGAAAGCAATGTTAAATGTTGATAGGAGAACTGATGGCTGGTGACAAGTCCTCTACACTGGCAAATGTAGGTGTGTAGTACTCAAATACGATTGTCACTCCTCAACTACAAATTATTTGCAAATGCAAGCACCGGACATATTATCTGTTTGGCTGTGTGGATGATATGGGTTGTTCAGACACTTGATGATTTATTGAATTTTTATAGTAAAGTGGTTGAATTTTTGGATGTATGCACAAGCTGATGGGAAGTTTAAGTACACTAATATGTGGTCTTGTCTGTCGGCATAAAATCGACTGTATGCAAGAGTAAATCCCGGACGTTACAAAGGTGGTGACTAACTCAAGAAAAAAATAGTGAAAAAATGAAATTTCTTTCAGATGAACACTGCTTTACTTGAGTCCCATTTATCTTTTAACATTACAATTTCTCTTCTTTTCTTGACCCCCAAAAATAGGGATGCCAACMCTATAACCACGCCAAACTAATCTTGCCAGCCCTGAATCAGTCATTATCAGTATTTATGGGACATTGTTTTGCTTTCAGCGTTCTGCTCTTTCGACGAACCTTCAATTTTGCTAATTATCCTCGTGATTTGCTGGGTATTGATGTCCATTATGGCGTTAACTGGAATCTTAGAGGCATGTTTCCCACTGGTGTGCCACGACGAGGTAGGKGTAACTACAAAGACACAAGGACACGAAACAGATAGCTTAAAAAATCATGCCCATGCAATAGTAATGCGCAAGGCGCTTAGACACCCTAAAACCGATGAACCATCGAAACCCAAACAGAAGGATTTTTTCTTTTTCCTATAGTCATGCTTTAGGGTTTGGGGCTGCATTGCTTCAAAAAAGCCTTATCGTGCTATTACGCTTTATTTGTTTGCTTGTATATAAGTACGCTTTGGTGGTTTTCTGGCATGGTCAATAGAYTTGCGCTTTACTTGTTTTTATTCTAGTGCGCTCTGGGGGTTTCGAGCTATAGCATTACCGTTAAATACCTCATCGTATAAACTTATGTGTATATAAGTGGGTTTGTTTTTTCGTGTATGTGCAATATGAAACTTTCCTTAAATCACGTTTATTGTGCTTTACTTATTTGTATATAATTCGATCTGGGATTTTTCAAGCATGAGCTATAGCCTTACCTTATTGCGAGATTACGCTCTGTATTAGACGTTTTGTTGCATCTTTGACTGTAACAGTTATATGCAGGATACTAAGACTATTTATAGTGCAGGCCTACTCCGGCTTCAAAAGTCTCCGTACCTCTTGGCAACTTATAAAATATAAAGAGTTTTTGTGGGATTTTGAGAGTTTTAGGTCCTGGAGTAGTCGCCTTAACTTTGAGAGTCAGACTTGGTCGCGATTTAATACAATTTTAGCAAATTTACACTTATGAAGGTTAAAATGTGAATCGACTTTTTGATTTTTTGAACGATTTTAGGTCCCAGAGAAGCCCAAGTTACCTATACGTAAACATCCCYGAAATGGGCTATTGCTAAACTTTTATTATATAAATTTCTGTCTCATTTCAGCATTCAGTCAGGAATACAGCTCTACAAAATGGTTATCCAAAAAGACTAGATAACTACGGCTCTCAAGACGGAGCTCAATTAGACATCGGATTACGGCAGCCATTACAAACAACTGTGTAAACTTATGGAGAAATACTACATGCAAATGACACTAGTTATAGATGACTATAAGGAAGAAGGTGGAGTTCCAAGTTTCGAACGACTGTTCAAAAAAACCGATCCAGGTCGTAAAACCGAAGATTGGGATTAGATAGCCTTGCAAAATGTCAAGTAGAACTCAGGAGGAACTACAAGTTGACGAGCTATAGTTTGCCATGACTATCCCTATAGTCTTAATGCCGATCACTGGGACTGCTGACTGGAATTCAAATAACACAGGAGTCCAAGACTATCACAGACGCTTATGATAAGATACGTTTCTGCTGTTCAGTTGAAGTTGAGTGGGGATCATATTTAGATCTCGGGAGAAGAGTACTGAGATGCTCAGCGGTGCGGCGTACGGGATTTTATTCACGAGTTGTTTGTATATCMTTGAATGAACGAGCGAGTTTATGATGCAAAGAACGAGTGAATAAAATCCTGTACGCCGCACTTTCCATGCTATAATCTGTTTATTATATATATAAAACGAGACTTTCATTCGGCATACCTTTTAATAAGCTTGTGCAACTATCATGAGAAATAAACTCAATACATAAGCTAAAGCTTACGTAGATAAGGGCCTGTTCACACTGTAACATAAGCAGAAGCGGAAGAATTGCATTTGGTATGTGTGAACCGGGGAAAACAGAAGCAGAGACAGAAGCAGATGAAAATGAAAACTTTTTCATTTTCTTCTGCTTCTGCTTATGTGAACCGGGACATCATAAGCAAAAGAACATGCTTCCGTCAAGTGTGAACAAGCTTCTGCTTGATAATAAACTTTATATAAAGCTCACAAATAAATAACAAAATTGACAGTTCTAGTGTACGTAAAAACTCCACTGAAGCTGTAAAAACGTGTACAGGTTAAGACAATAGATAAAAGTTTTTCGTCCAGAAAGAACCTACTTCGTGGTCTGTACACGAGACACCGCGCTGCAATTTCCTTCTTCATTGGAGCTGATTTTGCTTGGCTATACAAGTACATCTCTTGTCTTACTAAAGTCCATGCTTTCATGTTCCTTTTGGATGACAAAACTGAACTTAATTTTCATGAAGAAAAACCATCGTACTTTGCTTTAGCTATGTTTGCTTTCCTGTTCACTAATAAACTTGTCAAATGTGGAATTTTGATCAACAAACACAGTTCACCGTCAGCAATTTTGCAATCAACGCGCGGTATGTGAGAGAAGAGTCATTTTAGCGTTATGAACGTCGCTTTCTGACTGGTTGATTACGGTTTTTAGTAATGCGTACCACCCCGTTGAGACCCTCCTAAATGAGCGGTACAAATGTAGACAAAATCTCCAAAACAAAACTAGTACTCATTTAGTATGTTAGTACATCGAAGACTTTGAGTGGGAGCCGATCATATAGCCACTTCGTAAAAAAAGTCGGTTCTCGGGAAACAAACACAAGAGACGACAATAATTCTGCAAAATA